TTGATGTAACAGAGCTCAAATCCTCAGGATTTGAGCTCCGTTCCTGCCCACTGCTGAGAGGGGAGGGGAAATCTCTCAGCGTTGATGTAACAGAGCTCAAATCCTCAGGATTTGAGCTCCGTTCCTGCCCACTGCTGAGAGGGGAGGGGAAATCTCTCAGCGTTGATGTAACAGAGCTCAAATCCTCAGGATTTGAGCTCCGTACCTGCCCACCACTGCAAGGTTTCGCCTCCCCTCTCAGCAGTGGGTAGGAACAGAGGGTAGGATTTGAGCTCCATTCCTCTAGCCCCAGGAAGGATTTCCCCTCTGTCCACAGCAGGAAGGATAAACCCTTTGGCAGGCTTTAGGAACATTTGGGAGTGAAAGGGCTGCCTGCCACAAAGATTTCAGCTCCACACAGAGCTGACACTGTGTGGCAGGTAGCCCTTACGCTCTCAAAGAAGTGCCTGCCAGGAGGATTTCAGCTCCACACTGAGCTGAAATTTTCAGCAGATAGCTCCTTTGCTCCATCCACTTAACAACCCGTAGATCGCTCAATGACCACAACTGGGGGTGCCCAGATTGCAGTCGTTGAACAAAGCAGTCACGTGGAAGTCTCGCTTAATGACTGCTTCGCTCAATGACTGAGATTTCGGTCTCAATTGTGGTCATTAGGCGAGGACTACCTGTATTACTATTTTTACTTTGAGCATGCAGTGCAAAGTTCTTTAGTTCTTCTTTAAGAAATAATTCTGTAAAATTAGAGAAAAAACATTAACTTTAATGCTAGTTGGAAGTCCCTTTTGCACTTTTTGCAGGGAACAGAAAAAAAATGAAATTATGATATATGGATTTGATGATTAGTTAACCTGATTATACAAATATGTACAATAAGTTGTAGTTTTAGAGTAAGAGATCATTGTATGATTCGTTTATATCTGCTGTATAAGAAGTCATTCTTTTTGCATTTTTTTCTTTTTCTTCTCTATTTTCTACCACTTTTGTTTTCTTTCTTTCTAGCTTTCTACTCTTCTTCTTGATTATTAGTTCCTGTTAGTTTTATCCTTTATCCTTTTCTTTTTAAAACTTAATAATCCATCAATTTTTAATAATCCATCAATAATTATCCATCAATCTGAGGTTGAAGACAATCACCAAAGTCCCTAAGGGAACAGACACAGTGACATTAACCCTTTCATGTACCCACTCTTCCTTTGAATAGATAGCCACACACATTGGGTCCATCATGCAAATAAGCTGTGTTGAAAACTGATTTCAAAGAATACTGTCCTTATAGTGCACTGAAAACACTACCTTTCTCTCCAAAACTTAATAAAGTTTTAAACGTAAGAAATCATTCTGTAAGAGTTAATCACTGTCAAATGGATAGAATATTTCTGAAGATGAGTACAGCAGGATTTGCTTGAAGTTGGCTTTCAAAAGAAAAAGTAGATTCTCATTTTTAAATGGGAACACAGGACCAACAAGTGCCCAAACTAAACATTTCAGTCAACAGCATATACCTTTCTAGCCATGAGAACATCAACATTTGAGAAGATTAGTGGGCACAGTGACTGTTGCATAATTTAAACTGTAAGATTGTCAGTAATATTAAAAGGAATATCAAGAGAAGAAATTACAGAATAAGAAAACAGAGATGATCACATTATGCCATGGGACTTGGCATAATAACCAAGATGTTTTGGAAAATAACTGCAATTAACTCATGATGATGAAAGAACAGGTTCATTAACACAGCTAAATTTAAAGTATGTTATGATGGGTGAGTGAAGATAAAATCTAAAGGACTGGCAAAACCAATAGGGGGTTTCAACTGGACACTCATCAGAAGAATGAGAGCAACTTGAGATGTTTTGATATCTCTTCAATACAGAATTCCGTGGCTATAAGAGAACTTGGCTATACATCATACCTAGGCTTGTATAAGCAGCAGGAGAGGCGTTTAGTTTGTACTTTGTGGCCATGGATGAAGATTCGCATTCTGGGATCAATGTAGAGCACAGCAGCATATGCACGGAAAGAACGGCGTTCTGGCTTCCTGAAATGGAACACAGGCTTACAGAACATAGAAAGTGCACATAAACCTAATTAACATCCTATATCCTACTAAATCCATCATCTGTAAACTGAGTGATTAACAGCATGCAAATTATATTATCCTTGATTCAAAACAAAACAAAACTGCAGTTAAAGGTTGCTGATTCTATCAAACATACGTTCCTTCTGGTGGAGTTTCAGCCATCTGGATATCGCGGGGATCAGAGATCACATCTAGCTCAGGTTCACCATTATCCATCAATTTGAGGTTGAAGACAATCACCAAGGTCCCTAAGGGAACACAGTGACATTAACCCTTTCATGTACCCATTCTTCCTTTGAATAGATAGCCACACACATTGAGTCCATCATGCAAATATGCTGTGTTGAACACTCTGATTTCAAAGAATATTGTCCTTACAGTACACTGAAAACACTCCTACCTTTCTCTCCAAAAATCTTGTCAAACTGCTGCATTACTTCCTTCTCTGATTTAAAAGGGGAATACTTGTAAATGAGTTCAGTCTCAATGGAAAATTTCTCCATGTTTTCTGTCAAAGGCTCTCTGGTGTGGGCATTCCAGGTGGGCAGTGGAACAATTACCTGCAATTCAAAAAAGGTGCTTCAAAATGAATATTTTGATGGTCTTGCAAAAACTAACTTGTTCTGTATTTTATTAAGGCAAATAATTGCAAACCTCATCAATGCCTTCCTCTTCATGAAATGTGCGAGACAAGAAGAGACAGGTCATACTGTTTTCCTTCTTCGTAAAGAGGATGAAATCCTTACCAATCCGCATGGAACCTCTGCAGGAAGATTTCAGTTTATGGAATATACTCACAAGTGGTACTCAAAAGCAATCCTTCTGTCCAACATATTAAAAACAACACGGCAGGGAACAAGCTTACTTTGTTTTAACTGAAAATCCTGTTACCTCTGTAGATGGCTAACCAAAAATTCAGAAAAGAATGAAATCCATTTGGAATTTGGGTACAGGCTATAAAGATATCAGGTCTTTCAATTTAACTGAAGATGCAGATACCCTTTGCATTTTGCTCTGGGACAATATCGTTTGGAAAACTTACCAATAGCTACCCAATTTATTATTGAGTAATAACATACATGAAGAAATCAGCTTTAAGGAAATTGCTTTTGGTTAGGCATTCAAAAGAATCCAGAAGTAGGAATACATAATCTCCTTCAGCTTCTTATTGGAATCAATTTCATTCTAAGACATTGCAAGGTTATAGAACCAAGGTTCATTCTGCTAAACTTGACTGAAGAGATTGATGGCTGTGAATTGCCTTTATTAATGCCTTAAAAATAATGGCTCAACTGTGTGGATTGAACTTTTGCTCAATTCCAGGATGCATAATTTTTATTCCATTTCTAATATTCTTATCTTAAACAACTTATCGAAATAGGTGGTTGCGGAATAATTTCAGTCAATCTTGGCTGGAATTAAAGTTTTGGATTCATGTCAAATAAGATTTGGAGTCTTTGATACAGAAACATTATGCTAGTGCAGTGATGGTGAACCTATGACATGAATGTCAAAGGTAACATGCCACAATGTTTTGGTTGACACGCTAGCGTTCACCTATATTCGACAACTATTCTCCCTGTTTGAGTTACCAAAGAAACTGAGTTTGTTTTACTCGTATTTCATTTTTGTAATTATTTGATGTTTCTTGATGTAATATATAGCACCATGCATCATTGAACTGTTTTTTAAAAAATAAATATGTAAATAATTGTTTCTCTTTTGTTTGGGAGGAGGGGTGACATGCCCATCTTAGTTCATAAGATTGGGAGTTGAGTTCTACTCCAATGGGTTGCTACTGAAAGAGATAGCTGTTTTGACTTCCCCACTGTGGGACTTAGGAGATGATTTGAGTTAGTCCTTAGTTAGATGTATCCACACCTACTGGGTTGGATTTTTGCAGGGTACTGAAGAAATCCAAATGAACATATCATGTGATTGTTATCTATAGTCCTAAAGGGTACGTGCAGGAATGTCTTCTCTCATACAAATTTGCTTAAAGAAAATGTAGTAATATTATCCTGTTGGTTTACCTTTTTATTTGGTTCATAAGGTAAGGTAAAATAAGATATGCAAAAGTACTTTCATCAAGCAACTGGGGAAGCAAGCAACATCATGAAAAATTTTTACTTTCGGTAAGTACATTTTTCTTTTTCTTTTTAGCATTTTAATGAAACAAAAAGTATTTGGGAGGTTGGAGTCCATATACCTACGATTTTAAGCCATTTCCATATTGCCCAATCTGTGTGGATTCTGGTGATCGTTTAGCAGATTTACCAAACTGAATCACACTTGCAGCATCATCTGAAAATAATACAAAAAATAAGGAAGAAAATAACTCAGAGTACATATATTACTAGCTCTCTCAGTGTATCAAACATCAAATAAAGCTTTCTTTCAGGTATGTTTCAACTTTCATAATCTTTATTCAGAAGGTGGGGAGGTATCTTAAAAAACAGATTCACAAAGCCACTTGGGAGGCTTCTCTTCTTCTGATGACAATAAGCTCCATACTGAACTTCAATAATAACAAAGGTATAATTACTAGACAATTGTATTATATGGTAGAGTGGATGTAGTTGCCAAGAAATATTGTTTTCTCTACTGGGAAGCCACCAAAAATCTTCTAGACTACAATATTTTTCATACGTCTTTTCACTGATTTACTTTTCAAATAAATTCATTCATGTTAGCTCTGTAAGTAAATTAGAGAGATATTATGGTCCAGCAGCAAATGGTTTTGTCACAAAAAATGGAAACATTTGTTTAAATCTGCTGTTGCACTTTACTTGATTTCTTGATCTTGTGATGCAATTTTTAAAAATGGAAAGCTGTATAGATTCTTGTCTCCACAACAAGCTCTACATACAATTAGCTATAGTTGTAATTCTTTAAATGGATATCATTCAGCAATATTTATAGATTTGGCATCTCTTTAGAACTAGACAAAAACTACACTGGGAAGCTCACAGCAGTCTTTAGATTATGAGTGTGGCTTCTGCCTTCTTGTTTAGTTCATTATAGGACCAATATGTAAAGAGCAGGTCAGAGTACAAAGCTCAACAACTTGCATATTTGATAGACATGGCAAAAAGCAGTCCAAATAGCTTCAGAATACAAATTTTTACATTTTTGTTTGCATTTAATTAAACAAAGCAAAGAAAAAAGAAAAAGCAGAACAAAACCAGAGAGAGAGACTCTGAGTCTCTGACTGTCTTCTCATACATATATATATATATATATATATATATG